AATAATTTTCAGTTTCAATAAACTATTTATTTAAGTGAGTAAAAAGTGGTTGTAAAACAGACTAGGACTAGCTTTCGCTTTCATTTGTACTGAGAGCTTTTGAAAGCTTTGGCACGCTGTGTTGTAAAAGCAGGGCTGGTATACAAGTAAGCAGCAGTTACACAATGATCAGGTGATTAAACGTGTAACACCTCTGAGTGTGGTTATTCTGGTTTAACTTTTATTTCAGTGCAGAGCATAGGTCACTTAAATCAAAATTAAAATTGATTGGTGAAACCGAAATTAAAGTAATTTTCACTTAAATAATTTGGTGAAACTGGCTGTTAATAACTCATGATTTTTAAAGATTATTTAGCCAGAAAATTAGAAGAAAAAGCAATGCTCGCTGGATCAATTTGGCTTTCGCTAATGGCCGCTGTGTCCAAGTTTTGTTGACTTTTGCGCCAAATTTATTTATTTTTTTACTTTTGTAGCTCATTTGTCAATTATTCATGAAATAAAAAGCTTTACTGGTTTTTTTACTTCCTCTTATTGGCCATTCATCACTACATGTCATTTAAAGCTTAAAGAATTTTGCTTTTTCGGCGCATCTGAAGAAATTAGTGAGAAAAAAATGTGAAACTGAAAAAACGCTGTAAATTAACAAGTAAAATGAAAATGTCATTTATGAAATTTATACTAAATTTTCCAATGCTAAAAGAAAATATTTAAATATGTATTATTATGCGTAAGCTGCAGAAATTATTTTTCAATGATTTGCTAAAAGCCGCGTACTGCATTGTAAGTGGAATTACATTGATCTTTTCTTGTATTTTGTTACGAAAATACTTGCTCTAGACTCTGCATTTAAATTTTTACCATTTTTACTTTTAAGAAATATAACTACGAAAAATCGTGTTGTAGTTTGTTTTGCGTTTACAAATGAGCGTAAATTTTTTGCTTTCCACAAACAAAACAAAAAACTTTGTCTCTTATAAAACAAAAGAAAAAATAATAATTTAAGCGAGTACTTTACTCTGTGCATAAATTTGTGTGCAAAATGGTTGATACGCCTGCATCAGTAAGAAAGGTATTCTATTCAAGAGAAGATTAAAGACCAGCAGAAGAATCCGTTTCAAATGTAGAATGAGTTGCCGAGTGTTCATTATTTTTATTTTGGCTTAGATTCTCTTCTTATTCTTCTTGATTGATCTTGAGTGGTTGATATTAAATAAGTTAGTTTCAGTTCCCTTAATACCCACAAATTCTCTATTCGATTCTGGCGCTATGATGGTCAATCCCATGATTTGGGACCCATGTATTTTTTCCATATTAATTGTATGCCTTACATGTAACTTTAGTTTAAATTTGGGGTAAAGTTTTTGCTGTAGATTATAAAGATTTTAAAACTTTTGGTACAAAATGATGACACGAATGTAGCCTGATGAGATGCCGGGCAGTCCAAGATTCAGAGGACATCCGTTTTGAAGGCTTTTTCATGACAATTATTATTAAAAACTAAACTTTTAAGTGCCGTTTTCTCAAGTAGATTATAAAATTTATCTGGCCGTGAAACAACAAAACAAAATTTCTTTTTAAATTGCAAATTAATTTTAAAACCTTTAAAGGCTACTCGTAACAGTTTTATTAAAATTTTTTTTTTCAAATTTTAACTTTTCGACTTTTTTGAAAAACATTTGTTTTTGCGTAATTTTTCAGAGCTTTTTTTCGTTTTCAAGAACTACTTAAAAGCTATTGAGAACAGTTCTAATTTTAAAAAGTTAATCAATATTTTACATAAGCGTAAAACTTTTCCAATTTTCCAATTCTATTTCCTATTTATACGTATATTGATTGTAAAGTTCCAAACAGGACAGCTTGTGAGCCATTTTTGCTAAATAAGATAATACAATTCCATTCACATTGCAAGTCATCGCTGTGTTTTCTCTAAAATTTAATCAATTTAATCAAACTATCAACAATTTATGTTACAACAACGAGGAAAAGTAATTCCAAAATCTACTATGTAGCCACTACAATCTACACGTGCCACCATTTGAATTTGAAACTCATCAGCATCATCTTCCTCTTCTTCCACTATGGCTCATAGTTCTTCGTCAGATTTAATGTTTCTTCATTATTTGTCGACTGACTGAGCCGTTGCGGCGCATTGGCTATGGTATTGAGTACATTTCGTGCAGCACGTGTATTCCGTTCCAGTGATGACGACCAGCCATTACTAACGCGAGTGGCGCTGCTATTGGGATCATTACTTGACGACACCCCACCAATACCCGATTCCATAATTGTTGGCATGCTTGCAACGCCACCACTACCGGGAATGCCCATTGCGCTGCTGAGTTCAGTGCCATCATTGCCGCTGCCGCTGCCGCTGCCGCTGCCGCCACCAGTTTCGGCTAGTTTGAAGGAATGCGCCGAACGTGACGTGGGACGCCAACGATTTAATTTCACTGAGGTTTTACGCTGATGTGGCAAAGTGCCCCTTGCGGTTGCCGTTACTGGCAGCGTTGCGGTCTTGCTGTTTACCGTACCACTTTTGATAGCTGCCGTGTGCTGTTCCAACAGATTAGATACAAGCTTATCGAGTGCCTTCAGGTCGACTTGCATTTTTGAGTGGCGCATTGAGTTCATACGGCTGCCAGTGCGACTGCTGTTGCTGCCGAACGGTGAGTTATTGCTGATGCCATCGGTTGATGGTTCGCGTAGATTGAGCCCAGCCATGCGGGCCAAGCGTTGCGGTAGCTGAAAGTAGAAGAGGGGAGACATTTTTTAGCTAACTGATGCAAGTTGATT